TTTTACTTTTCGGGCGTTCGGGTTCGGGCATTCGGGTTCGGGCGTTCGGGTTCGGGCGTTTGGTCCATTCCGAACGCCGGCAACCCTGTAGATATATATATATAGGATAACCGACGTTTGGGACGAGACGAACCCCCAAACGTATAGGACCCCTTGGGGATGCGTTCGGCCATTCGAACCAAACGATGACAAAAAGAAACACAAAATCAATTCGAAAAAATCTTGAAAACAAATGTTATGAAGTAAACAACATTTGCCTGAGCATTGCATCTAAACTCCATACCAAATTTGAATAAAAAACAAATACAGAAAATAAAACTAATAAAAATAAATAAATAAAATAAAAAAGAAGAGAGAATTAAAATTAGTCAGTGAACGAGCACGTTTTCGAAACGGCCATCTTTGGCGATTTTTTATTTTTGCTTGGCACAGACAAATGTCTTGAAAATTTACAGATGTTTACTTCACATAATAAAAAACTCATTAAAAAAGTTTCAAAAAATAATAATTTTTTTTAAGCACTGCAATAAAGTGAAATCAAAAATTAGAAAGTGAAAAACAAAAATTGTGAGTGGGCGAGCATGTTTTGACACCGCCATCTTTGGAGATTTTTAGTTTTTGTTTGGCTAAGCAAAATGGCTTCAAAATTTATAGGCATGTACCTGACATCATAGAGAACTCACAAAACAAAATTCAGAAACAAAAACGTACTTTTAGGCCCCGAAATATGTTTTGGCGTGGGTCGAATGTCATCGGGTTCGGATGCTGAACGGGACCCCGAACGTCCGTACGTACGGAGGTCGGCCCGGAGACTTTCGTACGTACGGGCTGGCGACCCTATATATATATATGTATATATATATATGTATATATATATGTATATATATCGGATAACCGACGTTTGGGATGGGCCGAACGCCTGAACTTGAACGCCCGAACGTACAGAACCCCTTGGGGATGCGTTCGACCGTTTAAACCGAATGCGGACTCAAAACAAAATAAAAATAAAAATAAAAAATCAATTCGAAAAAATCAGGAAAAACAAAATGTTATGAAGAAAAATAAACTAAACAACATTTGCCTGAGCATTGCATCCAAACTCCATACCAAATTTAAAATAAAAATCAAATACAAAAAATAAAACTACTAAAAATTTTTAGAAAAAACAGAAAAAATGAAATGAGAATTAAAATTAGTGAGTGAGTGCGAGCACATTTTTGACACTGCCATCTTCAACGATTTTTTTTTTTTTTTTTGGCACAGCCAAATACCCTTAAAATTTATGGATGTGGACTTCATATAATACAACACGCATCAAAAAAGTTTCAAAAAATAATAAAAGTTTTTAGGCTTCATGATAAAGTGAAAAAAAACAAAATCGTGAGTGGGCAAGCACATTTTCACACTGCCATCTTTGACGATTTTAAATTTTGTTTGGATTAGCCAAATGACTTCAGAATAAAAACCTTAAATTCTGGCCCCGAATTTTTTTTGGGCAGGGGCCGAACGCCTACGGGTTCGGACCCCGAACGCCCGTACGTACAAAGGTCAACCCGGGGACCTACAACGTGAACTGGCGCCCCAATCTTTAGCTTACTTTTTTTTTCTTCTTTTTCGGTGGCCAAAGTCAACAGTCACATTATCTTCGTGACACGTAGCCACGATTCTCCTCCCAAATTACAGACTCAGGTTCGATCCCCTTCGTTTGATCAAGGAAAATTTGGATTTTTTCTCGATTTATGTCTGTCATCTTTGCGGTGGGTAATGTTCATTCACACGGTTGATTTCAGGCGTGCGATCTTAGTAATCATGCGGCCGAAATCGGCGCGCTGTGATGCCCTTAACAAGGGCAGCTCCCAAAAAGAAGCTAGCACCAGTAGTAGCGCGACCACATCTCGTTCCCCATATCTGCGGCATGGTTGTCTGATGCGTTAGCCTACTAGGCTAGCTCCTTTTACGGAAGTTGAAAGGACAACCCCTCTATTTGAAGGGCTTTGCCCAATAGACCATGCGTGGTTTGGTATACTTTTTCTGCCTCACCCCTCCACACGACCATCCGTCTCCCTACGGCGTAGGCAGGGACTCCATCCGCCATGTTGAAGTGTCGGGCACACCAGACCCTTGGTGCGAAATCGAACCTCGAGGGCCAACAATTAAAAGAAATAGAAATAAATTAATAAACGTTCCGTTTCTTCCCGCGTCGTAGCTTCATTTCGTGGCGCAATCATTCTCTTTAGCCTACTTAGACCGTGAATCGCGCGACTGGTCATTATTTTAGGTACGATATGTATAACTTTAACATTCTCATGATCGTGTGCTTCGATGGCCCCATCACGAACCGCGTCTGTCTAATCACATTACCGATTACCGCCATAATCCTCAAACGTTACAAGCGTTTAGACTAAAGTTCAAAAAAACATTTTTGTTTCTCGATCATAGACTAATATGAATAAACTTATGGCAACTGTCAGTCTTATCAAATCATTGAATTAAAAAAAAAAAAAAAATTTGTCCGACTTTTAAAAATACTAGGCTGATACTCTTGTCAGGGTTTCTACCCCGACAGCGGGAGCGGGTCGACATATTAGGAGTGGTATTTTTGGCCTGGATTTTGTCCATGGCCACAAATTATTAATTTAACGATGATATTTGAGCAGCAACGACGGGCGTTAAGGCTACACCGGTGGAGGTACCGACAGGCATGATTACGACAAACTGTATTTTTCCACTTTGTCGGGGATATGCAACTGAACTTTTATGGCGTCTGCATGACTCTTATCGAGGTAGTACTGGAGTGACCACGTGGTGGGTTGCGGCTCGTTCACTAGGGTTATGCTGCCAAAGGTTTGGCATGTCGGGGGCCCTAAATTATGGAGGGGGGGGTTAACATTTTACAGTGGAAAAACACTGCTTATTTTGCGGTGCGCCAGACGATTGTAATTAGAAGGGAGGTGATATTAAAATTTTGGCACAGTGGCTTTTTCGTGTGTGATCTGGTAACAGTACTGCAAGGTGTCTTGCGACCAGTTGGCACTGACGTGGAATCGATGTTTTTTTTTTTTTTTAACGTATGTGACTCGCCATCTTCACACTTGGGACTACTGCGTGTGGGATGTACGAGTTGGGGATGTATTGAGACTAGCACGCATTGAGACAAGCGGTTGACTCGAGACTTACATTGGGACTACGGTTTCCTTCAGCGACGCATATATATTTCTTGGCTTCATTGAGTGAGCCAAGATACACTCGATAATACTTCACTCAATATCACTTGAATTACTGAAACTCCCCTTCGTAACCATGTGAACCCACAATTTGCTTGACCCTGTTTGTTTTAAACGTTCAAAAGAAAAGATGGAGGAAAGGATGTGTGACTCTCACATGTGAAAGGTGAGGTTTGACTTGAGTATGAAATCGCACTGGTTTCTTTGGAACTTGTTTTTCTTTTGCACGTTGTGCAGTTAGGTAGAAGGATGCTTGCAAAGGAGATTGATTTATGCCCATTTTCGACAAAGGAAAAACAAATTGTATTCCTTCTACCTTTCATCTGCCTGTTTGTCAAAAGAACTTGTGTTTTGAAAATGGTTAATTAAGTGGGCTCCAGGGTTGTCGGGGTTAGGGGCAGGCCGAACACCTGAACTCGAACACCCGAACTCGAACACCCGAACATTCGGGACCCCGTCGGCGGAACGCGAAAAAAAAAATAAAAATAAAAAAATAATAATAATAATTTCAAAAACTCCGAAAACAAACTATGTTATGCAAAAGAATAAAATGAACAACATTTGTCTCGACGTCCTATTCAAATTCTTTATCAATTTTGAAATAAAAATCAAATATAAAAAATAAATAATAATAATGATAATAGTGAATTAGAAAAAATAAAAAGAGAATGAAATTATTGAGTGGGCGAGCACGTTTTTGACACCGCCATCTTTGCCAATTTTTTTGGGGGGGGGCTTTGTCAAATGTTATGAAAATTTATATATGTTATCTTACATAATAGAGAACCTACAAATAAGGTTTGGAAAAATTATATTTTTTTCATGCCCTGAAATAAAAGGAAAACCGAAAGTGAAAAGAAAAAAACAATAAATTAGTGAGTGGGCAAGCTAGTTTTTACACCATCATCTTTGATGATTTTTCATTATTTTTTGCCTTAACATGATGCCTTTAAAATTAAGAGGAAGATACCTTAAATTACAAAGAACTCACAAAAAGAAATTCAAAAAAACATAATAATATTTAATTGTCAAAATAATGTTTTGCGGGGTCCGAACCTCTTCAGGTTCGGGCCCCGTACGGGGACCCAAACACCCAAACGTTCAGGGGTCAACTTAGTGACCTTCGTACGTTCGACCTGACAACCTTGGTGGGCACCGTAAAAATAATTTGATTCACATAAAGAAGATAAAATTAAATCGGCTTAGTATTTCCTTGAGGTCTGCCCATTTGATCCCAAATGACCTCATATGGCTATATCTGTACAAGTGGTTCTCATTCTCTATTTCCTCTGACTCTTCTGTTTCAGTTATCTTGAGCTTAGAAAACGACTAAAATTTACTCACGGTGGACACGTTCTCTCTTTCAAGGAAACATTTAGGGCAAGGGTTCGTTGCTTTCGGAGCCGGCCCTGTTATCGATCCAGAGTTGACCGTTCTACGGAAGGTACTATGCCGATTCCATGGAAACGGTGTCGGCGCGAATACCCTTACAAGGGTATCCGCCCTGGTTTTTGCACGCGACAAAAAGAAAGTTTGGTTTAAAGCTTAAGCATATCGCGCTAGGCGCGACTGCGTCTGTGATTTACGTTGACTGGATGGTTGACTAGAATAGAGAGTGTGTGGGCGGGCGGATTTTTGAGGCACGTGTGATTTTCTTAGTTGTTGATGACTGAAGAGTCGGCGGCGTCATCGCCGGCCGTAATTTTTTTCTCATTAAATAGGGATTAAAAAGATAATGTCTCATTGATTTACGTGCTTGCCTGTGATCTGAGCGTAAGAGCGGAGGACGGCATCGACAACAATGCGACTTCTGAAGGCGTTCCGGTAGCTTGGCGTGTCGCGCAGTGTCCACTTGTTTAGGCGTCCGCCGGAGCTAGACCCAGACTTGGACCTGGCATTATTGGTTACCGCGTCGGACTTCTATCTACGAGATTCGGGGATTGAGGTCGAGCAGCGGCAACCCGAGGTCATTAAAGTAGTACAAGGAAGGCTGAGGGGTTGAGGGTCCAGCGGGGCTACCCCCTTTGGGTTTGCCAATGGCGACGTGGAGACGGTGTTAGAGTTTTTTTTTTTCCCCGTCTGTCGTCCTTTGACGATTATGATTTTTCTAGATATTTTGTTATTTTTGTCGTCGTCCGCCAACCACGAATTGACCACCGCGCGACGAGCACCATGGACCTCAATGTCTCATTTGAATACTTTCTACTACCTTCGAGAGTCGCATAGGCCCGGTCCACCAAGGCCCATGCTAAGCTTTGCAGCGGGCCGGTGCCTCTGATTCCGCGGCCCACTTACCTGAGGGAAAGCTCGGTCGTTGGGGGCTCGAGGAGGTGGAGCACTCTGCCTGAGCGGAGGGAACACGCAGAGACTGTGGCAGGGCTGGCCGGGCGGTACTGGGTAGAAGCGGGCGGACCGCTGTGTCGGAGCGCTATCGGGCGAGGGACAACGCCGAAGTAAGCGCAGGAGGGGGGGGGGGCTAGCCACGAGGTTAGAGACTTACCTGCTGTGGCTGATGCAATGTTCTTCCTAGAGAGAGAGAGAGAGAGAGAGAGAGAGAGAGAGAGAGAGAGAGAGAGAGAAAGAGAGAGAGAGAGAGAGAGAGAGAGAGAGAGAGAGAGAGAGNGCAGGGGCAGGGTATACCGAGAGATGAGTGGGCGAGGACGCTACCACTCTGGACCAGGAAGGCGGAAAGGCCGCTGGCTAGCCAAATCAAAGACAAGGCCCGGGACTGGGAAAGTTGCAGGGCACATCTAAGAGAGGCTTTTCGACGGCCAAAGTCCCCCCACCCCAGAGTCGAGAGACGTCAGAGGAGTCAGAGGTCGAGGGACCCTGAGCCCAGGGAGGTGAGATCGTCTCGGGGAGGACGGAAGGCCCTAGCCAGGAGAGAGGAGGAGCCGGAGCGAGAGCCAGAGGTTGAAGAGCGAGGGGCATACCCTGAGTGTGGGTTGGGACCAGTGGAGTTCCATCGTTTTACTGAGGGTGGATTGAGGAGGTCACCAGCACACACACGGGAGGAGCCGCCAGTGTCTGAAGGGTCGTTGAGAGAGTTAGAGACGCATCTGGATATCTCTCAGTGGAGAGCGTCGCCTCAGGATGAGAAGCATGAGGAGCAAGTAGAAGGGGTGCCACGAGAGGAGGTACCACAAGAGGAGGTGCCACGAGAGGAGGTGCCACGTGAGGAGGTGCCACAAGAGGAGGCGCAAGGTACTCAGCAAGAGAGCAGGCTAGGCGACATGGGGAGACGTGCAGGGAAGGAAGTGATAGAGGTTGGAGAGGACACACCCCCACAGGCGCCAGCAATGGGTTTGAGACTCGGGGATGCACCAGGGAGCGCTCGTCATGCAGAGGAGAGATTGCGGAGAGAGGAGGCCCCACTTCCTTCATCAGAGAAGGCTCCATCGCCAGAGGGGAGAGCCGGCAGGAGGATTGAAAGGGCAGTTGTAAGGAGGGAAGCCTTGACCCTGATTGATAGGCACCTAGCAGCTTATGCCCTAGAGCATCCAGACCTGGAGGAGCCAGCACCTGCAGAGCCGCACCGGGAGCCGTACSAACCCGAGAAGGAGATGGAAGCAGAAATCCCGAAGAGGGTCGACCTCCGCACGAGGGAAAGGGCGCCAGCTGGAGAGACGGCTGAAGAGAAGAGGGCGAGAAGAACTAGACGGATAGATGAGATATGGCAGGAGAGGCAGAGGTTGGAGGCAGCGGGGGAGCTCCCGGAGCAGCAACAGGAGAGGCAGAGATCGGAGGCAGCGGAAGCACTTCCAGGTCAGCCACCCAACGCGCCAGCCAGGGCCCCGGAGATTCCTGAGATGTGGAGAGACTTCTGGGAGCAGAGAGGAGAGGAACTTCCATCGCTAGTCAGAGTCGGGTTTGGGGTGGCCAGGAAGGCGGAAGAGAGGTTAGATCGTAAAATCAAGTTCCTGGCTAAGACCACTTTTGACCGACACTTGTTATTGGAGGGCGATCTGACAGGAGGAAGATGAAGGAAGCAAGCCATGGAGTACGCCTGGAGGCTATGGAGATGGAAATTCAGGAACTCAGGGCCTTGGTGGCCAGCCAGGCAGCTATCATCGAGAGCCTGAGGCAGCAAACCCAGACAAGCGTGGACAAGCCAGAGAGGAACAGGCAGGGAGAGCAGAGGCAGCCAAGACAGGGATTGCCAGGACAGCCATCTGCAGCAGAGCCTCGCCAGGAACCACCTATGGGGAGAGTTATACTGGAGCCAGAGGAGGCGAGAGCCCAAAGACAGGCAGAGAGAGAGGCGTTCGAGTTTAGAGCCCCTACTGAGCTCGCGACGCTGCCAGTGGTGGCGGCAGGCCCAATCGTACCTTTGGCAGTAGAGGAGGGGCTGCCACCATCTAGCAGTGAGCCGGCTCAGGGCTCAGTAGAGGGATCCATGAGCGTGCTCCTTGAGGCGGTGCATACTATGCAGGAGGAGGTGAGTTTGTTTTCACCTGAGCAGAGGATAGAGGAGCTTCTTGAGAGAGAGATAGAGATTGAGGCGGAGAGTGCCATCGAGAGCAGGTTCCAGAGGATGAGCACACCTGAGTATGGACCAGGAGATTGAGGAGCAGCCCATGGCAGTGCCAGGAGAGACACTCGAGAGGAGACCTCAGAGGTTGGACACGCCTGAGTACGTCCCAATGACARGGGATTTGAGGAGCAGACTGGGATCTTGGGCTACTGGATCTGGGTCTGGGGGACCAGTTCCTGGGACAGAGTAACAGGAGGTCGTTAGTACCGCAGCTCCTCGATCAGAGCAGCAGGGGTTTGTCAGTACCTTGGTAGGATCTCCTTCATCGCCACCCCCTCAGCCCAGGAAGAAGAAGTTAAAGAGGAAGATTGATCAGCTATGCTTCTACTGCAAGAGGGGCGTGCATCTGGCTCTGGACTGTCTCGAGTTCCTTGAGGATAAGGCAGTAGGGAAGGTCTCAGAGGTAGGAGGT